TAAACTATCAACCACTGCAAGCTTCTAATCTTGATTGGTCGAATTCGTTTAAATTTTTCCCACGGAATTCGTTTAATTTTGTCGGCTTCCTGGCCCACAAGCTTCTGCCATCTATTTTTGATGATGGGGTCTGGATTTTTTGTCTTCAGCGAAAGTCTGTACCCGAGTTTGACTGTGTAGTCCTGAATTGGGATTTTTGTCTTGAAGCTGCTGGTAGTATTTGGCGTCCAGGCCCATTCGGCAGGATCGAACTCTAGGGACCGGACTGCAGTATCTGGTCTAAAGATTGAGTTTGGCCATGTGCCTAAGACCCTTACTTTCCTAAGGAGGAAGGGATCTAATGAGGAGGATTCGATGTTACAGTTCAGAATGGCTGGCATATCAGTGTCGGTGAGAGAAATCGGAAGGAGAGGAAGGTGGCTCTGGTGTGTGAGTCTTGCTGCATATGGGAGAATTGAAAGGCTCTAGAGGGGGTGGTGTCTTGAATCATGAGGCCCCATTCGCCTGGTCTCCACGGTTCGTCTTTTGCCAGGATGTCTTTCCACTCCTGTGGGATACAACTAAGTACTGGAGATTGACCCCTCGTCTGTGGCATCCTTTCAGTCGAGCGCTGACCTCTTGTTCCGTTATCCATTTTTTTCTGTCTTCCTTCCACAGGTGGTCTACCTTCCAAATACCATTTTTGACCCACGACAGCCATCTCTGTTCGAGGAAGAGTGGGTTATCGGTCTCGTTTGTTAGCCATTCATTCCCGAAGAGCGGCTGTCTGAGAACTTCATCTTTGGACTTCGGTCTGTTGGTCTTATTAGGAATTATTTTCCTCCACGATCGAAGCAGCGCCGGCCAGTACGGAGTGTGTGGATGATGATCCTCAGGTCTGTTATTCCTCGTACAGTTCCTCCGTCCTGTCGTTATCAGCCATTCTTTATTCATTACCCAGAACAAGCCTGACATGTCGTGCGGGGAGGGAATTGGGGCTACCGATCTGATGCTATCCAATGCCAGTTTGTTCCAGGCGCAGTCCAGTTTCACCAATAGTTTGATGATCCATTTGATTTGCAAGGCTTTGGTTTCCGTTCTTGGGTCAATAATTCCTAGGCCTCCATTTCGTGGTCTCCTTGTAACGTAGTGCCATGCTATCTTAGATATGCATTTATCTCTGTTGGGGTCGCCTGTCCAAAGGTAAAGTCTAGCTCTTCAGTTTAGCTCCTTTACGGAGCTGTCAGGGACTCTCCAAATGGAGTCTATGTACCACATCATTGAAAAAATTGACGTATTGAGGACCAGCGCTCGGCCAATAAGAGACGTGAATGCGTTGCCCCACCTCCCTATCTTATTGATCTGTTTTGTCAGCACGGCAGGGCCCATTTGAGGCGCCAGCCCATCTCTCATCATTAAAATGCCTAGATATCGAGTAGGAGAGTCCGGTGTCTGCCACATCATAGCCGCCTCATCCCCTTGGAGTGAGAGGGGCTCGTCTTCGAAGATCCACCATCCAATTGTTTTCCCCCAGTTGATCCTCATTTCTAAGGCTACTTTGAAAGCCTCCATTGCCTTTGCTAGTGTTCTGAAGGAGGAGTCAGACGCCCTGATCAGGACCGTCAGATCATCCGCGAACATGATAGCTGTAGAAAAATCCATCTGGTGGGCTGAGCCTACATCGGTACTGGCTAGTCTATGTATCGATGGGTCTTTACGCAGAAATGAAGCGATTGCCTCCATTACGAAAAGAAAGATTGATGGAGCCAGAGGGTCCCCTTGGCGGACCGAGCGNGATGGGTCTTTACGCAGAAATGAAGCGATTGCCTCCATTACGAAAAGAAAGATTGATGGAGCCAGAGGGTCCCCTTGGCGGACCGAGCGGGATATCGGGTAGCAATCTGATAGAAGACCGTTCACTTGAACGCACCCTATAGCATCCCTATATAGTATCCTAACCCATTTTCTGAAATTTGGTCCTACTCCCATCCTTTCCATGCTCGCTTCCATGAAGTCCCAATTTACTTGGTCATAGGCCTTTTCAAAATCAAAGAAAAGGATGGCGGCGTTTATTTTCCTTTCCTTGATTTTTCTTACCGATTCGTTTAGCGTCATCACATTGTCCAGAATATACCGCCCCGGAATAAATCCTGTTTGGTCGATGTGGAAACATTTGTTGGTAATTTTAATAATCCGATTGGACAGGGTCTTAGCCAGGATCTTGTATGGGAGCGTCAACAACGAGATAGATCTGTAGTTCTTAATGTCGTCTTTCTCGCCTTTTTTGTAAAGCAGCGTGACCACACTGCTGCTGAGTAAGTTGCCCAGCCCTCCCTTAGACCAGCTGTCATTATAGAAGTTTAACAGATCACTTCCTAGCAATGGCCAGAAATTTTCCCATAATTCTTTGGTTAATCCGTCGATTCCTGGGGCCTTGTTATTGTTCATTGTTTGAAGCGCCTGATGTAATTTTTCTGAGGTGATTGGTTTATCGAGTGCTTCGGCCTGCTCTGCTGATATGGTTGGCTCCAGGTAGTGCAACATTTTTTGTCTTGCTTCTATAACGTTGGTGGGTATAGGTGAGTCCGTCTTAGACTGGTAGAGTTCCTTATAGAAATTATTAGTTATTTCTAGCATTCCTTCACTGTTTGTTCTCATAGATTCAAGAGCGGTGTGTGACCTTAGACCTTCTATCGTACTAGCTCTCGAATTTGCTTTGATCCGGGCAAAGAAATGCTTGGTCATTGAGTCGCTAAGTTTGAATTCGCACATTCTTGCTATTATTTGAAGGCCTTTCAGATCCCACCATTTCCACATGGCCAATTCTTCATGTGCCTTGTCGAAGATCTCGCTGTATATAGAGGAGGCAGGGTTGTTGACAAGGTTAGTTTCTGCTATTTTCAGTGCAAATTCTAGTGCTTGCTTCCTCTGTTTCCTTACTCGGCCAATTTCCTGGAGACTTTAGCCACCATGTCTGAGAGGTTCAAGTAACTTTTTTGAAACCATTCCCATCGGGGTTCAGTACTTAGACCCAGCGACCTCAGTCCTCCCCAGCAGTCACAGACCTCGCTTTGGAAGGATTGGCTTAGCAGGAGGGAGTTGTTGAGCTTGTGGAAGCTGGCTCCCCTCCTGATCACTTGGTCAAAGCAAATAACCAGTTCAGTTGGCTTGTGGTCCAACCCCGGGTATGGCGCAAGCAGAAGTACTTCCGCCTCCTTGACTGTCCCCATCATAACTCCCGACACTAGAAAGTGGTCTATTCGTGAGAAGGCCGTATGGTTGGCATGTTTTTTCTTGATTAAAGTAAAGGTTCTCTTGTCTGGATGTAGGATCCTATGGGGGTCTACCAGGTTGTGATCCAGCATCATTTCCTGGATTGGGATCGCCTCCGACGAGTTTGGTGAGTTGGAGGAGCGAGATATGCGGTCTACTGACGGGTCAATCGTGGCATTCCAGTCCCCCGCTAGAATGCAAGGGGTTAGGGGAGGAATAAGTTGACCTATCTGTCTTAAGAAAACCGTCCTTTCCGTTGGTGAATTCGGAGCATAGATGTTGAAAAGTATGAATTCCTCTTCCTTCCATTTCAAACGCAGTAGACACCACCTCCCTTCCGTCTGGTCGGCTTTTTTATCAAGAACTGTGCCTGATTTATAAAAGCGGGACGCTTTGGGAATCAGAATGGCTATACCCTTTGTACTAGAATCTGGGTCGGCCGCCCAAACTTCATCCCCCAGGTCGCCTAGCTTCCTAGCAACAAATGCACGAATTCTGCTGTGGTCTGTTGATAGAGTGAGATGAGTTTCTTGAAGCATCACTATGTCTACTACCTTCCTGTTCCCTAGCGATAGTCCTGTTCACAGGTCATTCCATTTTTCCTCTGTTTCTATTATGTTCCCTAATCCATTGACATTCCAGCTCCTGAGCACCAGACCTTGGCTCTTCCAATCGATCCGGTTCCCCGCCTCGTTCGCTTTTCTTTCATAGTTTTCCATAGACGGAGTTGGGGTGGATCAAGGGGTTAACTGATCTAAGGTGCCGGGAGTCTAAGTTGGGGTAGGTGAGGAGGTTCCCATCCTCAGGCCCTCTCCCCCCTCTTCTTGGTCAGTCTTCAACTCCATGTCCTCACGGGGCAGAGGGTCAGTAGTTCCCTCCGACTCCTTCTCTGAACCTGTCCCTCCTGTCCCCTCCGACTCCATTTGGCCATTCTCCACTTTTTCCAGTTCAGTCAACCGGTCCATCTTCTCACGTTCGTCCCCATCCCATGATGAGCAGTCTGAGGCATCACTCCTATAGAATCTTTCGTTGTCCATGGCATAGGCTCTCGCATCCAGATCTTCATCTCCGTCCAGCTGACCTGCCTCAACGATGTGTGCCATTGCTGTGGCCGTCAGCTCCGCCGACACTCCAATGCTAGCAAGGATGTTGTACGGGACTTCGGCCACCGTTCGCCAAGGTCTCCATATCATCCCTGATCTTAACTGCGTTAAGTCTGACATCTTGGCTATCAGGGGGGAGAAGGCTCTTGGGGAGTTTCTGTCTGACTCTCCCTTTCCATTATGAACACTTTCTGAGCCCTCTTGAGTGCTGGTCTCAACCAAGTCTGTCTCCATTGCAACTGTTACGAACAAACCCAGTGGGGATTCCAATGTTACCTGATTTTTGAGCGTTTTGACCACATTTTCCCCTTCCACAAAGTGAGGGATTTGGAATGCTATGTCCGTTGCAATCTGCCACTCCCTCGCATTTGGCTCGTACCTGGCTGCGACAAGCAGCCTGATGTTTCTCAGTGTTATGCGGGCTGCTTTGGCCGACTCCACCACCATTGGGGTTTTTCCATTCGCAATCTGAGTGATGGTTGTGAATTCAGGTGCATATTCTTTGTTCCACTTTCTCAATTTTTCAGTTTGAGACAATACCACTGCAACTTTTTTTTCCAAAATGTCGCGCTCTGATTTCTCTTCCACCTCGGTTTGGTCGTTGTTGGTGTCCCTTCTTTTCTGGTTTTTGCCTGTTTTCCTCGCCTTGGGACGCAGACCCTGAAAGTTGTCCTTGGTTGTGGGAATGGTTTTATCCTTGCCCTCTGTGCCTTGTTCCCTTGCCCTCTTCTTTTCTGCGTATCTGAATGCTGCGTACTCCGAAAATTCCTCCGCTTTGGCTTTTTGAAGGACTGCGAACTGATTAGAGGAACTGTTGTTTCCTGCGGTGGCATCCTTTTTCCCATTCACCTGGGATCTCTTGGCGTGTTTCAGGCATGCTACCCGGACATCGAAAGCATGTTCCCTTTCCCTTTTTGCTTTTTCCACATAGTGCCTGAGCCAGGTTAAGGACCGTTTGGCGCGGTCCTCGTCATCTGTGGACACAACATCCGGTTTGGCAATTTTCCCATCTGCTTCATCATCCGCCTGATCCCCTGTCAGATCGAACTCCATTCCTTCCCCTTCAGACCCAGCTCCTGTCGTGTTTGTTCTTTTTGCCTTTGACGGATCATCAACCCTTCTTCTTTTCTGCCCCGATTCTTTCCCTGAAGATATGTCCCCTTCCTGTAATTGATGTTTATTGCCAGCATGAAATTTGTCCCTTCTTTTGTATGTTTGCAGCTCAGCTTGTTTCAATGCCTCTCTGAACAGGCTTGGTTCTTTGTTGTATTCCTGTTCAATCTGTTCTCTTATCGTGTCCAGATCCCACAGTAGGTCTTCCCTTGCCTTCTCCTCCCGGATCACCCGTGAATCGGTAATAGGCATGGTGTTGATCTTCGTTGGGTTGCCCTTGACTTTTCCTGTTGCCTTCTTCTGCCACCCGCTGTCTGCAGCGGGGAAGATGTCCGACTGTTTGGAGGCTGGAGTCTGATCTGTAAAGTGCCAGACCCAATCTGGCTCGTCAAGATTATCATCAAAAACCCACCCATCGTAAAACGAGTCTGCCACATACTAGATTCCTAGAGCATCTTCTACTTCGACCAGCATGTTGGGTAGAAGCTTTCTTCTTTCGCTTGTTTTGGATACTTAGGACAGTTAGGGTCATTACCCAGGTGGCCTCGCTCTCTGCAGCGAAAGTAGATTGGAGAATTTCTCGTTGATATCCTCACCTCAATTACCCTGTTTTCAATCTGAAAGTTCCAGACCAGAGGGAAGACTGGAGGGTCATTTGTTTGTACATCCAAGATCGCTGTCATGGATCCGCAGTGAGGTGCCAAGAAGTCTGGTGTAGGTAGGATCCACTTCAAGATTTTGTTTGTTGTGTACTGTCTTTCTAACCTGTCGACCAGCAAACCGTGGAAGCCCGGCTGAATGTTATCGAATTGTACCCAGAAGTTTTCCTTCAACAGTGTCTGTTTGTAGGAGATTGCGAAACCTGGGGTCTGCCTTTGTGCTGAGAGTTTTTTCCATCTTGTGATTGTGCAGACTGAGCCGTGACAGTTCCTGGATTGCATTTCCGCTGCAATCCTTGCGTGATCCTCATTGACGAAGAGAACCATGATATTGTTATGGCCCAGGTTTTGAAGTGAGAAAGTGTCCCTTATTTGTTTGAATCTCGGTTCCTTCTTGATTGTTTCAATTACCCATTTCCTTTTCTCGGCGGGCTGGAGATCTGCACCGTGGCGTGCAAAATTGAACACCACTCCATGTTTTTCATGCAGATCGTCCAGTTCAGCGATTTTCTCTTCCGGATATTTCCAAACCACCAATTCTTCTTCTTTCCCGTTGACTAACTGTTTTTCCGTGGATTCAATTCCTTGGACTTTTGTCCTCTCAATCAGGAATTTGAGAGCCTCATTATCGATGACATTAATTTTCTTGTCTGAAGACTCCTGATCGTTCAGTACCCCGGACAACTTAGGGTTATCCATCGTCTTTCCAGAGTATTCTCATCTCTCTTTTTTTTTTTTTTTTTTTTTTCCTTTTCACTTTTTTGAAGTTTTTTCCTTCTTTGATGTTGGTTCGCATCTCGTGTTTGGAGCTTGGTATGGTGAATAGTGGAGTTGTTCTGGATTGAGAAAAAGTGAGAATCCGTGGGTTCATTGCGAAAAGAGGAAACACATTCCAAATTTCCAATTATTTCGGAGTAAACAGGGTCTGGTAAAGAAAACAAAGAGCCAACCACGCCTGTAGCCACAAATGAGTTCGGAATAGGCAAAAAGAAACAGGTACCGGCAGGTCACTCATGTGCCATAAAAGCAGCACAGCAGTTTCAAATGAGCTCAGATGTCATTTTTACAGGGTCGGCTTGTGCGGAGGGCCGGAGTGAAAGGCTTCACGGTGCACAGATGCCACAGTCCTGGTCCCCAAGGTCCCAAAGTCCCCAGGCTCGCAGCTGAGTCTGAGCCTCAGGGTCCAAGAACACGGATACCGCAGTCTTGGTCCAGAGTCCCAGAATCCCGGAGTTCCAGAGTCCTGGAGTCCCAGATGGTCCTGGTAGTGTCCCAGGGTCCGTAAATAGGTCCTAGGTCCAGAGGTAGGCCGAGGGGTCAAAAGTCCAGTCCAGTAGGGGGAGGTCTGTAGGCCAGTCCCAAATATTCAATTTTGCAGCAACCGGCCCAACCGTAACGAGGCCAGACCGGACCAGCGAGATGCAGGCATTTTCGCAAGGCCGAGGTACCGGCCTAGAGGCACAAGCAGGGAGTCCAGTTCTATATATTGGCTGCTACAGTGCAGCGCCTCATCAGTTGTTCACTCGGGACTTTGTGGAAGCGCTGCAGGCGACTTGTGCATGAGGAGCGGATGGTGGACTTTAGCGCTGGGCAGCGCTAGTTCACGCTGACCAGAGACGGCGCCCGGGAGGGCAACAGCGCGTGTATTCAGAGTAGACCAAGAGAGAGAGAGAGAGAGAGAGAGAGAGAGAGAGAGAGAGAGAGAGAGAGAGAGAGAGAGAGAGAGAGAGAGAGAGAGAGAGAGAACATGCCTAAGCTTGGAGGAGGTAGAAAGCCGACTTCACACCTAGTTGGGTTGTGTGTGTGTGCACTAAGGTGTAGCGCTGATTAGAGCTGTTCTTTCCATTCTTTCATTGAACTTTATAATAACTTTGAGTGATTACTTCAAGCATTCTGAACTCCATTTTTCATTTCAAGTGTGCAAGTGTGTAACTTGCTGCGCCTGATTGAGTTGCATCAAGCTGGGTCATTGCACTGGTATCAGAGGGGGAGCTCATGACATCGCGCTGTATGAGGAGGAGCCGGCGCTCGGAGTAGGCCGGCGAGATACAAAAAATAAAATAAAAAATTCTGACCTAATTTTGAGAAAGGCCGAATTTGAAGGGGGAGTGAGGTGGATGTGTGAGGTGCTTACCTGGTGATGCGGCGAAGATCCTGAAACCGCTGAAGATCACCGAAGCTGCAGAAGACTTACTTCAGTGAAGTGCCCCTCTACCCTGAGCCTTGTCAATTTGAATGTATGTTGCTATGGGGATTTTGGATGCCCTCAATTCGAGTTGATTCAAGTGCTGTTGCTGCAAATTGGATGTCTTGAGGATTAAGTCTTGAGGTAGAGATGCGCCAGCCGCAAGGTAGAGCAGGCAGAGAGGAAGTGTGGGCATGAGCGGCAGGCGCTAGTTAAACAACCTGTCTGTGCCCAATGACTGGTACTGACCGGCACACAAGCCCTGAGTCCTGTCATACGCACGCGAGAGATCTTTAAGTGTTGAGAAGGCACTGTCTAACTGATTGGCCGCGTCGTCCTGATTGCGACATAAAATAATTCTTGAGGACCTGCAGTTGTCTTTAAATTGTTGTTGGCCAAGTCAGCTCTATAACAGTTGTCCGTAGGAACAGCCACTGTTAAGGGGAGGGCAAGATTACAATTAGGTCAAGGATTAGGTTAAGTCTTAGTTAGGTTTGAGGATAGGTCTAAGTGTTGAGGAGGTGGAATTTCACCCTTAGATTGTGCCCCACTCACCATGGACGACGATCCTATGTTCGCACTTCTTTCCCTCTCCGTACTATGGAGAACTTTGCTTCTATTCTTCTTCCCCTTAGGATTTAGGTCATGGATCCAGAGGATGGGAGACATGAAGATAAGATTGGGAAGAATAACTGGCCCAGGAGCAAAACAACAAGCCAAAGAGGACGCTAAGGTCAAGGTCATACTGAAAGAGCAGAGGGATCAGAAAGAGCAAAGGGGGAAGGAGAAGAAAGAGCTGGCCAAGGAGGCAGCCAAACTGAAGAAGAAGATGGAAGAGATCGAAAAGAAGCAGAAGGAGCAGGAGCAGGAAGAGAAGAAGAAGGAAAAAGGAGAGAAAGATCAGGGTACAAAAGCCCTGGTCATACATGGAAAGCAAGGGGAAAGTAGTGAGCAACGTCATATGACCCAGCAAGAAGAGGAGGAGGAATGGGTCAGTGCTTTCTGCATCCCCGTCAAGAAAGGTGAAGATGAGTCGATTGAAGAAGTGGGTTTGTACCAAGAGGCGATTAAGGGAGCTGAAGATGAAGAAGAGAAGCTGACAATGCTAACCAGTCGCCGGAGGCACACAAAAACTCCTTGATCAAAAGAAGAAGGAGACCGCAGCTAAGAAGGAGTTGATGTTGGACGGAGCAGTCATAGCCAACAAACTGGTTGATTAGGTGAGAGGAGAAGAGCCTCAGGAGATAAAAGACCAAATCACACTCACCCAAGCCGCACTCCAATCCGCAAAAGAAACTACCATGATGAGACAATTGATGGACCGTCTAACCACCCAGAATGAGGAATTTCGCGCGAAGTGGAACAATTTCACCACCGCCACTTACCACACCATCTGTAGAAAGATGCAGCAAGCATTGATGGCCACTGAAGCATATATAGGCGAGACTTGCATGCTGAAGAAAGCTGGTGGAGGAGATGGGGGAGATGGTGGACCCCCTGATGATGATGAAAAGAAAGGGAATAAGGAAGGGAAGAAGGAAGGGAAGAAGGAAGGGAAGAAGCCCAAACAAGATGACGATGACAACGAAGGAGGAGGAAGGGCGAGGTTTCCCAGGGTGAAGCTACCCGAGACATACCACGGTGACAAGGGAGAAACTTCCTAGGATGGGAGGCGAGCGTGAAGAGTTACGTGCACGATCGAACCAAGTGCACAAGTGTTGTTGGCCCACACCTGTTTAGGAGGAGCAACGCAGAGTTACGCCAACACCCTGATAGCAAACAGCAATTGCGCACGCGACATAGTAACCTATCCCCAGATCAACACTCTCGACACCTTCCTAACAGCCTTGTATGAATGATTCGAGGATAAGGTGAGAGCCCAGCGCACAGCAGATAAGATGCTGAACAATGAACATCCATAGGCTGCACTGGCAAAGTGTTAATGCTCTTAAGACATACATGGACGACCTTCGAGAGGAACCCAAAGCAGAGCGTCAGGTGACCATTAGACAACTCACCTACTTCGCTATGGCCCTACCCGAACCTCTTAAGACACAACTAACCACGAAATCTCAGGAAGAAGGGCAGGACGGTTGCTGCCAACATTCGAACCCAGGACCACCTCTTATTGACTTTTCAGGGAGGAGGTTCTGAAGAAATTCCCATAGATTACATAGACTATGGAAATCTAGAAGTGGAGCAAGTTGGTGGAGGTTTGGGAGGCGACTACACCAACTCTGCAGCCCAGAGGGGGGGGCGAACACCAGGGCGAGGAAGAGGAGACCGTGGTGGAAGAGGTCGTGGTCGAGGAAGAGGATACTACGGACCTCAGCAAGGCGATTATGCGTTTTATAATGGGGGCGGCGGAGGTAGGGGAGCACGAGATTACCCTTACCACCCAGGAATAGCAGTCGGGCAACCTTGGCTAGGACAGGGAATTAAACAAGAAGAAAGGACCCGACGAAGAGAGAAAAACTTATGCTTAGGGTGTGGTGAACCCGACCACATTGTCAAATATTGTCCCAAAAGCCAGTCGTCAAACAACAGTGGTCATTAGAAGTGTTAG